ATATTTCATGGACGGAAAACTTGGAAATCAAAGGCTTGGAGAGTAACAGCTCCCAGAGGGCCGGCGCCATTCTAAGGATGGGGAACCTGAGAACCGTCACAGGAACACCCCACCTGCACGTGGGCAGCCTTCTACAACATGACTGCACGATTCATGTAAATCTGTGAAGAACTGTGCTAAAAAGAAAACATGAAAACCTTCAGCTGGCAGAAGGCAGAGGTGGGAGTGAGCTGGGTTTGGGAGGAACACGGCAATCCTCCTGAGGCAGCCCTACCCCGTAAAGGGGCTACAAAAGGGACGTCTGTAAAGAGGCCTCCCGTAGTCAGAATTGGGGCCGGGGGACACAATTCCACCCTTGTGCAAAGGACCCACGGAAAGCTACAGGGAACAAGATTCTTACGAGGCCCCCGCAAGCTGGAAGGCCAGAAAGTCCTGGTGATGCTGACAAGGAAGGGCTGTTTGAAGAACCACAGGGGCATCTTGGTGCAGACTCAAAAATCTCGAAGAGCTCTTGTCTACAGAGATTTTCCCCGCCACACCCCTACTCTGTATAAGTTTCCATGTCCTCGTCAGCTGTCTGTGCTATCTCCTTGGAAACTTAAAGAAGTTTATGTCAGCTCAGAACATACATTTCCAAGGTTCTAGGGTAAGGATTCTTTGTTTGTTGAAATGTCCAGGCTAAGTATTAGGGATATTAAGGAAGAGGGAAGGAAGGACCATTATCCTAACTTTAAATCCTGCTAAAAAGGAGCAGCTCAAAGAGTGACTTCGAACAAGAGAATTGCTCCTCCAAAGTACCTACAGTGCTTTTCTCCTTAAGTTTAACTAGACAAATAGTCAAGGACTGGCCGTCTAGTTGCAGGTGTGATTTTATCTTGTAAGTCTCTAGTACATTTCTGTAGACCTGTGTGCATTCAGCCTAATACATACACCTCAAGTACATAACACTCAGCTGTGAACTGAGTATTTTTCCAGTGGGGTAGATCAGAACCATATGGTTGTTACTGAGAGGATGCATCAAGTCTCCATTTCTCCATCTGTAAAATGGGGACAGTAAGACCTAACATGCAGTTAGGAAGGAATGCAGCTGCTGAGGGAATTAGAAGTAATACATGTAAGGTGTTTAGCAAAGCTTGGCACATGGGAGGGAGGTAATTAATAAATTAGGGCTCTAATGATGATATTAAAAAATGAGATCAACAGATGCAGGAGTGAATAAACTGTCTAGGTGAGAAATTGGGACCACAGCTGAGTGAGTCAGTTACATTCAGGTCCTCAAACAAGTCAGGCACTTGGGTGCTTGTCCCTCTTCCTCCGTCCTGACTGGCTCCCCCTGCCTTCAGCCCTCCCCACATCCATCACTTCTCATTTTCTGGATCTCTGCCCAAATGCCACCTCAGGTTCCCTGAACACCTTATACACAATAGCACTTCCCTTACTCTGCTTCATTTTTGTTTATATTACTTATCATTTCCTGACATTAATATATTAATTCCTTTTTTTTATTGGCTGTTTTCTCTCTTGAATAGAAGCAATAGGCAGGCAGGGACTGTTTTATGCAATGCTGCATCTTCAGGACTCAAGACTAGTGTTAGCCACATGTGAGATGCTCAATGAGTATTTGTTGCATCAGTGAAAGGATGAAAAATATCTAGAGTTATAAAAAAAAAAAAGAAAAATATCTAGAGTTGTGAAGTTTCAGAGTTGAAAGGGGACTGAGAGGTTTCCCCCTCTGACCTTGCATCTAATGTAGGATGGGTCTCCATTTACCCCATTCCAGACTGGGAGTCTTCTCTTTTACGCTGGAAAATGTCAGATAGTTTTCCATGCTGCCCATGACACTGTTCAACAGCTGGACCCAAACTGCCTCTTTGTAATTCCCAAAGAATGGCTTAATCCAGGCCTTTGGAACCAAAGGATCATTCTTCCCAGACCGACAGCATCCCTTGGTCCCTCATCTGCAAATAACAGGGCTCCACCTAGGTCTCTCCCTTGCAAGGGTGCCACTTTCCCCATGATCTTATTAAAACGGACCCATCAAAAACATCACCTGCGCAGAATAAGATATTCCAGATACACAGCATAAGAGAGGTAAGGATTCAGTAGCTGACAAAGGTGATCACCAGGAATGGCAGATTCCAAGAGAATGGATGTGCTAAATCTTAATAATACAACAGAACTTCTGTCAAGGTTCTGGAGAGGGAAATAGCTCTCAGGGAAAGAGGGAAATAAACTTATACACAAAGGAATAGAAAAAGATCGCAAGAGAAAAGATACAAAGAGGAACACACTTGATCATGTGAAAATGAACTTTTGTGGGGTAAAAAATAATAAAATAAAAAGGCAAATTTCATAATGGGAGAAATACCTGTAGCATTCAGTGTGTCAGTAAGTTATAGGAGAAGCTCAAACCTATAAAAAATGGACAGTAAGAGGATCTCAGTAAGAGGGAAGGAAGGGTATAAACTAGAAACTCATTCAGAATGAAGTAAGACCAGTGAACACAGAGATAGGAAAATGGTCTGCTTCAGTCATCAGAAAATATACATCAAATAATTAGATATTATTGAAAAATAGAGGCACCCAATTCTTGAGAGTACACGAAGAAATGTAACTCTCCTATCTTGCCGGCAGCTATGTCAAATGGTATAGCAGCTTTGAAGGTTAACTTGGTAATACCTACTATGAGTCATAAAAATGTTCATACCCTTTATTATAGCAATCACTGAAATCAGTCTCTAAGATAAACCCCCAGATATATGTTTTTTTTTTTAAAGATTTTATTTATTTATTTATTTGAGAGAGAGAATGACAGAGAGAGAGAGAGAGCACATGAGATGGGGGAGGGTCAGAGGGAGAAGCAGACTCCCTGCCGAGCAGGGAGCCCGACGCGGGACTCGATCCAGGGACTCCAGGATCATGACCTGAGCCAAAGGCAGTCGCTCAACCGACTGAGCCACCCAGGCGCCCCCCCCAAATATATGTTTTAAAAAAATATATGCATTGTTTCCCTGGGGCTGGAAGTGGGCATGGGGATTGACTGTAAGCAGGCAGGAGGGACCTTCTTGAGGTGATGGCAATGTTCTAACACTGGAAGGTGGTGATGGTTGCATCATTTGGTAAATTCACTAAAAATTACTGCATTGCACATATAAAATGAGTAAATTTTATGCCATGTAAATGTTATCTTCGTAAAGTTCTTAGAAGTATATGTACAAATATTTTCATTGCAGCCTTTTTACTAGGCATGAAAAAAACCTCGATCAAATATCCCAAAGAAAAAAAGGGGGTACTAAGGGATGGTCCAAGCACACTCTGCGACCAAAGAGACACATAAACAAAATGAGCGGACTCGTCACCCCCTGTGTCCCAGCAGCTCCTGCTTGGATACCACTGCATTTTCACACATATTGTTCCCTTCTCGCAGACCCCCCTCCCCAGCTGTCTCCCCGTGGCCACTCAGCCTTCACGGTGGTGGTTCCAACATCGTATCTTCAAGTGACATTTCCCCCAGTTGCTCAGGGAGAATCTTTTCCCTTCCATCCCACCACCATGCTTTATAGTGATTTTAGCCAAAATGTTTGCCTCCCTTACTCTAGGCAGCAGGATGTGTCTCATTCATCCTTGTGTGGCCCACGTCACAATGGTTATGAATACGCAGGCATTTGGAGGGAGGTGTTGCTGTGCATGCGTGCGTGTGTGTGTGTATGGAGGTTGTTACATGATGTTTTCTGGAAGTGTCTTGGACTTTAATAAGTGAAGCAAGTTGTCAACACTTTGTGGATCGCACAGGAAAAGCAGTCCTTTTCAACAACACCGCTGATAAAGAATAAGTTTTGAACACCAGAATCAGCAGAGACTGGGGCACAGCCTGGTCCCAAGAAGAGCCTGGAATTTAGCAGAGGGCAGCAGGAACGCAAGGTGGGGGAACAAAAGCTGGTATCAGAATCTCATGTCCACTACTTAGCATTCTTATTTATATAAATAATACTTATGTAAACCACATAAGGAATCATGTCTGGTTCTCTCTCTCTCTCTGTTTTTTGGACAAGGCAATTGCAATTTTATGTTTTGATTAAAAAATGTGCACCTGGACAGCTAAATTTTAAGTGTCAATCTAATGCAAGTGTAATAGGAACACCAGCTGTCCCTTTTTAAAAAAAATTTAATTCCAGTATAGTTAACATACAGTGTTATATTAGTTTTAGGTATACAATGTAGTGATTCAGGAATTCTATACATTACTCAGTGCTCATCATGAAAAGTGTACTCTTAATCTCCACCACCTATTTCACCCATTCCCCCCACCGCCCGCCCCTCTGGTAACCATCTGTTTGTTCTCTATAGTTAACAGTCTGTTTTTGGGTTTGTCTCCTTTTTTTTTTCTTTGTTCATTTGTTTTGTTTCTAAATTCCACATATGAGTGGAGTCATATGGTATTTGTCTTTCTCTGACTGACTTATTTCGCTTAGCATTATACTTTCTAGATCCATCCATGTTGTTGCAAATGGCAAGATTCCATTCTTTTTTATGGCTGAGTCATATTCCATTGTGGATATATACACATATATACACACCACATCTTCTTTGTCCACTCATCTGTCCATGGACATTTGGGCTGCTTCCATATCTTGGCTATCGTAAATAATGCTACAATAAACATAGGGGTATATATAGCTTTTCAAATTAGTGTTTTCGTGTTCTTTGGGTGGATACCCAGTAGTGCAATTACTAGATCATATGGTAGTTCTACTTTTAATTTTTTGGGGAACCTCCATACTGTCTCCACCGTGTCTGCACCAGTTTGCATTCCCAGTCTGGTTCTCTTTTTATAATATTCATCCAGGAGTCTTAAACTCAGTCTTGGCTGTTGTCACAAAGTTCTGATTAAAAACCTCACAGGTACTGCAAAGGGGCCAGATAACTAAATATTTTAGGGAAGACTCTCATGTTCGTAGAAAGCAAACATTAAGTTTTGTAACGGAGGCTCATTATGGAAATTTTTTTTTTTTTTTTTTTTTTTTTTAATTCACGAGAGACAGAGCGAGAGAGAAAGCCACAGGGAGAAGCAGGCTCCCAAGGAGCAGGGAGCCCGATGCGGGACTCGATCCCAGGACCCTGAGATCATGACCTGAGCCGAAGGCAGACGCTTAACCATCTGAGCCACCCAGGCGCCCTGGAAGTTTGTTCTAATGAGGCTTATTTCTGTCTCAAACTGCGAGCTACATTTGTCATAAAGCAGGCTCTTGTTTGCTGACTGACTGACCAAAGGAAGCATTCAGTCTCCTCTCCTTTACCTCTCTGGATGACACCAGGAACCACCGTTTGTTTCTGGCCTGTGCATTATTTTGATTCTCCTACTTCCTGTCTGCTTCCTTTGTATGATTCATCTTCCTCCTCTCTCTTCCTAATCGTAGGCATCCTGATTTTCAGTTTCTTGACATAGTTTTGCCTCCTGGATCGACTGCTATCCTGCACTGTGGCTTTCAGGGTGCCCAAGAACACCCCGATTAAGGAAACACAGCCGCTGTGGCTGTATCTTGGCGCAGAAACTTAATGGGGCCACATCCTTGCTCTGCCCACCTAACACCTCTTATTCCCCTGACCTTTGCCTCCGGGCATCACCATCCAGAGGCAACCTCAGATCCAAATTTCCATGGGAATCTGGACATTTAAAAGCTCTGTCCCTGAACCAGGAATACAGGGGCAGGAGAGCTATATGCCACAGCTTGAGCATCTGTGAATGATGAGCTGGAATCCAGAACACCCATGATGTGGAGGCGGGAGGCAGGAAAAGAGAGGAAAAGTGGAATGAAGGCCCCGCCCCATCCTCCGCCTGCGGGGCAGCGGGCCCAAAGCAGGCGCCCTCCACCCCGTCCTCGGGGCTGGAAGTGGCAGGCTGTCTTCCGTCAGCGCTCCAGCAGCATTTTCACTAACAGTCCAACAACAATTTCTAACCACAGTTTTGAGGAAATGCCAAAGAAAAGCAAAAATAATTAGCTGCGCTGTTCAAGTCTCCTCCTCCGACTTACTTCATTAGAAAAATCAGTCAAGGCATTAATGGCCATCTCTGTTTCTAATGAGCTTTATTCTAATTAGACTCACGCGTTATTATTTCGGTTGGAAAAAGGTCTCGTTTGTAAAGAGCAACAGGAGCGTGACAGCTTGTGAAGGCTTCTTTGACCAGACAGAGGCACAATCGCCATGATAACAGCACCAGGGACAACAGTCCCAGTATACTGAGCTTTTCATTTCCAAGAGAGAGCACATATTGACTACGCGGCTTTAAAACCCTCATGACGTGTTTATTATACCCGAATCCTCATTCTACAAACAAAAAGGAAGGTATTTTAGAAGCTTTTTTTTTTTTTTTAAAGGTTTTATTTATTTATTTGACAGAGAGAGACACAGTGAGAGCAGGATCACAAGCAGGAGGAGAGGGAGAGGGAGAGGGAGAGGGAGAAACAGGCTTCCCACCGAGCAGGGAGCCCGATGCGGGGCTCGATCCCAGGACCCTGGGATCATGACCTGAGCCGAAGGCAGACGCTTAACGACTGAGCCACCCAGGCGCCCCTATTTTAGAAACTTTAAGGCACATATTTCTCAAGCTTTATCTGACACTGGCACTCAGATGACTTCAATGATGCTCCTTCTCCCTGCCCCCCCCCTCCACCCCAGGAAGTGAGCAGGAATGAGGATAAAGGTGGGAGGTTCCTATCTCTAGGCCATAGTGAACTGATGTCAGAGGCAGGAGTTGGCAACCTTCTCTGTGAAGGGCCAAACAGTAAATATTTTAAGCTTTGCATTGCAGACGGTCTCTGTTGCCACTCAGCTCTGCTGTTGGAAGCATGAAGGCAGCCATAGATAAAAGGAGAAGAATGAGCCTGGCTGTGTTCCAATAAAACTTTATTTGTGGACACCAAAATTGGAATTTCACGTAATTTTTCACATGTCAGAAAATATATTCTGTTTTTTGCTTTTCCCAACCATTGAAACACGTAAAAACCATTCTTGTTTCATGAGCTGGATTTGGCTCATGGACCATAGTTTGCCCACCCCTGTTGCAGAGAAAAGAATTACCATCAGTGGGTTCAGAGGTCAACATGTCAAGGGTTTGGCCCTCTTCCTAGAAGCTCAAGCAACAGAGATAGTTTCCATCTTGAGAGAAATGTCTCTCAAGGTGGGGTCAGAGTTCTCTTCTAAAATGTCATTTTTATAAAATTGTTCTTATTTTACAAACAAGAAAACCATCAATCAAAATCAAGTTTTCCTACAATCTACCTAATTAATTGGACAGTTTCCAAGTTTCATTTAAATCTCTGTCCATATATCTGTCATTTTTATATAGTTTCAATCCTATGACAGACACATTTTTTTCCACTTAATGTTATCTTATAAAGTTTTTCCCTGTTGTAACCGATTCCTTCTAATGATAAATAGATATAACAAATTTTTGTGGAATTCTTTGTGGAAGATTTCCAGGCCATTTGATGGACTTAATTCAAAGGGATATCTTAATCTACTCTCAGGTATAAGAGTTAAGATTTAAATACCACCCCCTCACCCCCAGGCCAGGTCAACCTACTTGGTAGATTGAGCCTTGCGGGTCCCCTCTAAGGTTCAGTTCCTCTAGGACATGAAGCCTCATGTGTCTCCTCTAGGATTCACTTCCTCTAGACATGAAGTCTCCTCTAGGGTTCACTTCCTCTAGGACATGAAGCCTCATGGCTTCTCTGGGGTTCACCTCCTTCAGGACAATGGCTGTAGCAAGTTTGGGATTTCAATCCATATGCCTCTTGACAAAGACGTGTTTTCCAGACAGACTTTTTAGAGCTCTTTGTTCAGAACTAATTGCTTATACCCTAGAATGTACACTGAACACAGTTGGAGATTGGGTGAGACTAAGTACCCACTTCCTTTCCTTATAGTTTTTAACTGAGAACAGTCAGAAGGAGTCAGATGGGAATTAGCTCTCCTGCTAGGTTAGGGAACCCAGCAGGCCCTTCTCATCACCACCCCCTGTCCCACCCCCAAGGCCCTATGGATGGTGACTGACTCAGCCAGGTGTATGTGGACAGAATGGAGGATGTTGGGTTTGCCCCTCTTACTGCTCATAAGCTAGCAGACTAGAGAGGAGGAAGTGTGAAAGGTTGGTTCCTTTTCTTCCTCTCCACAGAGAGGAGCAACCTTGTCTGCGCGATCAGTGCTCACCATCCCTTCCCTTTCTCTTTGCTTTCAGAATAGAAAGCACATGCATCCGGCCAGGAAGAGGACCACAGCTCCTGATGGGAGGTCCCTGCCTATAAAAGGTAGAGAAGAGTGGAGTAGCCATATAGGATGGGGAGAAAGCCCAAAGGGCAATGAGGAGTGGGTGTCCTGGGCCCCGGGATGGGGAGAGCATGTCCATGTGGCTTCCTTCCTCATCCAGGACATGGCTAAGGTGGCCAACCTGCACACTAAAAGAGAAGGGAAAGCAGGTCCATGGGACTTCATTATGGATCCTGAGGGGCCTACTGGCCTGATGAACCCAACACATTTCCTGGGAATGAGCACTCTACAAGGATGACAACTGAGGGGGGTCCAGAGGACACATGACAGGCTGAGGCAAGCCGAAGTGACTGGATTTGTGGGGACTATTTAGCCTAATGGGAAGCTCTGATTAAATTAAGGATTGCCTCATATTTGGCCAACTGGCCAATATGAATAACAATCAACAGAAGTCAACTACATCTCTGGTCATGACTATCAGAATCCTTGGGAATAATGATTCAAAGGAAATCTAAAAAAGGACCGTTTCAGGTGACTTAGAGCATTTCTCAGTGCCTGTATATTACTGCTTGTTGGTTGTCTTCCACCAAACTGCATACGCTGGGATGCTGTGGAAAGTGTGAGCAAGACTCGTGACCACTATTTAATCTGTTTTTTCCCACTAGACATTTTGTCATAAACATTGTCCTGTTTTCATAGACTTCTGTTAATCTTGAGAAATTTAAAAGGTACAGAAAAGTAAAAAGAATGTAACAAAGACTGTATTTCTATCACTTGGACATAAGAAGCAGTAATATTTTGTAACATCTGCTTCTAGCTGCTGCCCTCCCTGATGAAATTGCTGTCCCAGTCCCCATTCCCCTGTCCCCAGGCACAACAATGGTCATGGGTTTAGTAGGCGGCCTCCCAGCTCATTTTTGATACTCTAACATTCATATTTTTACTCTATCGAATAAACTATGCTTTACGTGTATATGCATGTTTAAATATATAACAGATATAAACACATCCATATATAAATATATCATATAAAAATATATCATATCAATGTGTGCATACACACGTGTATACGTCTATCAGTGCATATGGCATATAGACAGTACTTCATAAATACTTGCTGAATGTCCATCCCTAAACAACGTACAGCATTTTTACATTTTTTAATTGGGATGGTATCATACAATTTTTATCATTCTGCATATTCCCTTGTTCATGTAATAATATGGTTTCAAATCTATACAGTCCATGTATATATATATATATACACACACACACACACACACACACACACACACACCTGATTCATTTCCTTTAACTGCTGTATAATATTCCACTGCAGATTCCTACAGTTTCATCTACTCATTCCTCCACAGGTAGACACTTAGGCTGCTTCGGGGGCCTTTCCCTTTGCTATCAAACACAGAATGTTTCAGTAAATTTTATTGTATAGATGTAAACGAATTTCAAGGATACCGACCCAGAAGTTTCATCGATGATTTTATTGGTTTGTATTAATAGTACTTCTTTATATATTCCAGCTATAGATCCTTTCGATGTTTTAAGTGTTGCAAATATATTCTGAACTAGTTTACTAGAAACTCTGCATTTGGGAATTACGAGGCTCATGAATAAGGGAGACACTGACCCATGACAGTCACCCGGCTCCTTGTGTCAATTTTCAGTGTGTTAAGAACCCAGAAGGGAGGCAGGATATGATTAAATGTCTCCAAACCTCCAACAACCAATTTTGGGAATATGAGTTTAAAGAATTTTGGTACTCCTCTTTTGAATCTATGTAGGAAAATGGGATTAAATGAGGGCAATCTAGAATTATCTGCTCCAAGAATGCTTTTTCTAGGAATGAAACAGAATATGTCTCCACTCAACAGAACTTCAAAGAGAGGAATAAGTATCCATTAATAACAAGATTATCTCAGAATAAAACTTTCAAGAAATGTACAGAACATAATATGCTTCGTAATTCCTTCCCAAATGATATAAACAGGCATGTGTCATTCTTTGCTACAGAGGAATTGCTTAGTGGGAATTTCAAAGAGTTGGGGGCAATCGATAAGATATTCTCTAAAGTTCCTCTCAACTCGAAATTTTATGCTTCTAGATTAGACGTTCCCTAAAGGCAAAAACCCAACTTTTAAATTATGCACCTTCTATGGCCCCTGGCTCATTTCTGTGTCCAGGGAACACATCCCAGTTATGCTCATTAAATGAATCAAAAGAAGTCAGTTTTACTGTTTTAATGATTTTTGGGGAGATCCCCTTTCCTAACTTTTTTTGTTTTTGTTGTTGTCACAAGCCTTTTGAGGCTGGTATTGCTATTTGTAAAAGTGTGTTTTAAAAAATCTACAAGAGTTAAAAAAGAATGAACCCTCTAAACACGAAAAATCTATATAGGGATCCAGCTCTACCCAGGCCACTGACTCACTGACTCGTTCTGTAATCACAGCTCAAAAGCTAGTGCAAGGTTATTGAATGGTGCTAAAAATGTTCACATGAATCTAATTCCTTAACACGTTTATACCACACAGGAGGGAGGCAGGTCAGGGCACACTGGCAAAGAATCCTCTTCCAATACTCAACCTATAAGGAGACATCTGTACCACAGGAAGGCACTTTTGCTGGAGCAAAATTCAAGCTGTTAAGTTCTGCATTTTTAGTTTCAATTTTTGCCCCCTCAAAACCCACCTCCCCTCAGTCTCTACAAATGGCCTTGATGATAAGGATACAAACAACTTCAAGCATGTCCAACGGACCAAACCCTCCGCTAGACTCTGGTGAATTAGCTCTAATTTCCCAGACAAGTTGGTATTGTTATGCAAATTTGTCGAAGAGGAGCCAGAGTATCAGAAAGGTCTAACAATCAGCCTGGGGCCACACAGCTACAACTGGAGCTGGTTCTCAGATCTGGCCCGGGGTTGGAAGCAAGGCTCTTTGTCTTCCTCTGTGCTGCTTCTTTCCTTGACTTCTCTCAATGCAGGTCTTGGCTCTGCACCTGCTAGCTACTTATTGTGCTGTTCTTTGTTAAGAGCACCTCCTATCTTGCTGAGCCCTCTACTGTAGGAGGCTGCCTGACCATACCTCCTTCCTTTGTATGCTTTCGCTTCTGCTAAGCCCCACGGTCTTATTTGTACCATTCCCTCATTCAACAAGTGTGCTAAGCATCTCTTCTGTCCTAGGCCCTGTGCTAGGTTCTGGGGAAGCAAAGACAAATGATTCCCAAAGACAAATCTTAGCCCAGAGGGTTAAGACAACGCCCATGGCTGCCAAACGCAAAGAATGGAAAGGCCATGCAGACGAAGGGAAACAGCCCAGGAAGAGGATGGGAAGGAGAAACTGAATGGGAACAAGGGAATGGCCCACACCAGCATCACTGTCTCTGCTCGGAGTGGTACCTTGGGCTGCCCTCCCTTGCCTAACTACTGCACCATGGCAAAATGACACCATTCACTGGTTGTGCCCCACATTACTGTCGGCCACACTTCATTCATAAAAACGGTAGGGCTCTTATTTGCATTCATGTACTGCATCGTTCTGGAATCTGAACTCTTCTCTGCTGCTCCCTAAAGAGCCCGGCTGATAGTGCCTCAAGAATTCTCAGAAAATCAAGCCCTCCAGAAAAAAGAAAGCAAGCAGAGACCGAGTGTTTCATTTCTTTCAGGCTCGTTGCCTGCTTTATCTTCCTTGGCCGCACCATCTATTCCTATCAGCTACCTTAGCATCTTAGCCACACGCTTTGCCAGTGGTTCCTACACCAGTGTTATCATCATGACTATTCAGTAGGGAGAAAAACAAAACAGGACTGAGTCCCATCCTTACCCTTGTAACTACAGCTTTAATTTGGCTGATGAATGAGGAAAGGTACACACAGGAGAGAGGGAAGGCAAGGCAGGGGGGTGGAGGGCAAGGGGACACAGGAAGGGTCTGGTTATTAGCAAGGCCATACTATGCTTACTGTGGAACACAAAACTGTTTAATGAAATGATATTTCATTTCCAGCCCACTTGCAAAATATACATGCCAGCAGGAGCCTCTCTCCACCAGTGTTGAGGGCTGTTGAGGGCCTTGGCTGTTGTTAAAAGTGAAAAGCAAGAAGGGAGGCACACCCTATGATTTCCTCTGCACACACACGCAGGCTGTGTAACATTCCTTAGGATTTGATACAACAGTCCCATGTTTCTCTTCCCTAGTGGGCACTGAGGAGGCCTTCAAACAGGCGCCCAGAGAGTAAAACCTATCATCAGCTGCATCTGCCACACATTGTATCTGATTCTATAGCAACTCTGAAGTTACATAGTCCCCTACAGGGGTAGTTTATATATAGAACCAAACATCATGGTTCATAAATTACATGCTAGTCACTCTCTTCACCAGGTGAAAAGCAAACACCTTCTGATCTCCAACACATTGATTCAAGACATGGTTCAGACTGAGCTGATGTAATATTACGAGGAAGAGCCCTTGAAATAAATTTATAAATGCAGATATGCTCTTTCTCACCAGCTAGGTTAGTTCTGGGGCCAAGGGAATCAGGCCACTGCAGGAATGCAAACATTTTCTAAGTGTAAATGATTTTTTTAATAGATGTACAGGTCTATTGATGAACAAACGTCCTTTAAAATCAGCCGATTTTAAATCCAGAGCTGCTCTTTCTCATACATTTCCTCAAAAGGTTATAATGAATAATTCCATTCAACAGTGACAGAATCTCAAGCTCGTATAGGAATAAGCGAGATGATACAGTAGGTGTGCTGGTCGCTCATCCTCAGGGGGTGAAGTACTATCAGCTACTTTTGAGAGGAAGGAAGGGCAGTAAGAAAAGGAGAATGGGTTTGTGTGGCGTTTCCTAGTCTTTAAAACCAGAGATCTATATGGATCATTGCTAGTAAGGTTCACGGGTGCAGATAGCCCCCTGGATCAGAGGGAAGCAGCACATCAATGAAATGCCATCATAAAGAAATCCACAGGTTCTTGGCCTGGGGCCCAGGGACAGGCTCCAGGGAATTATCAAACTCTGACATTTTACTTAAGGAATTTGTGTATATGATATGTGCATTTTTATAGGGAGAGTCTCTATAACTTTTATAAGATTCCAAAAAGATGCTCACGGCTTAACAAAGCTTACAAAGTCTTGCTTGAGAAAAACTAATCAGATGCAAATGGCACTGTACTGAGACATTCTTTATTTAATATTAAGAGCTGTCTTGGGACGTCTGGATGGCTCAGTCTGTTAAGTTTCTGCCTTCTTCAGCTCAGGTCATACTCCAATTGAATATCTGAGTAAAACATAATGAGGTAAAAGTAAACGAAGTGCTCCTATTGTGTCATAGGAATTTTACTCTCCACCAAGGAAATGCAGAAGTAAATCAAATAGAGGTTATAAAGTTCTTTGGAACTCTCATTGCTCTCCTGACCAAAGCTCTCCCAGATGCAGCTCAGTGTCCTGGCCTTCTAGATGCCAGCGCAGTGGAAATGGTACCAAGTGTCCAGGAAGCTGTCCTGGCTGCCTGGTTAATGGGACCTCAAGTTTCAACACCTGACCCAACAAACACTTGTGTTCGGTACAGGAGGACCTGGCTCCCGGTGACGACGGGAGGGCAGGGGGGTGTGGGGAGAAGGGGGTGATGGATGAAGGGTTCCAATCAGTAAAACATTGTGAAAGAAACATTGTGAAAGAAACTTACTTTTAAAATTGAGCTCCTCAAGGCCAGGGACTGTTACCTACATATTTTGTATCCCAAATTTCCTATCTATTTTCTATCCTGCATAACTATCTGGTACTCAGTAAGTGGTAAGTAAGTTTTTTAAAGGCATTTTTGCTACTTGCTTTCCTTTGCCATCATTAACTTGTTAGAAAATGCTGGTCCAGCTGAAGGTGCAAACTAGAGCCGTCCAACTTAAGTTCCACTGTAAATATGAGACCATCTAACAGTCTTTATACTATACTTTCTTTATACTAATGGTACTTTTACATGTCTCTTGAGAGCGACAGAGATTTCTTTTGGTGTCGAGAGTTGAAGGGTAAATTGAAACCATGTCCTACAGACATTCAATAAATATAAAGGAAGAATCAAGGAAGGGCAGATTTAAATCTCTGCACATTCAGTCAATTTTGCTTCTTAGCAATTGAAGGAAGAAAAAGGAATCCCTGGACATTTCTGAGAGATTAAATCTCAAAACTCAAGCCCTCTTAGAATGACTCCAATTTTCAGCATGAAGCTCTTGAGGTGTTTTTGGTTTTTAAAGATTTATTTATTTATTTGAGAGAGAGAGAGAGAGAATGCACAGAGCAGGGAGGGGCAGAGGGAGAGAGAGTCTGAAGCTGACTCTGTGCTCAGGGTGGAGCCCGATGTGGGGCTCGATCTTACAACCCCGAGATCATGACCTGAACTGAAACCAAGAGCTGGATGCTTAACTGACTGTGCCAGCCAGGTGCCCCTGTTTTTTGCTTTTTAAAATCAACCCTATAAAACCTAAAGAATAGATCTGAGTCGCATTTATGGTTGTCCTCAGGCTAGCTTGGACTAAAGAAATATTTAGCAATGATGGAAAGTCAGGAAAATAATTTGTAAGAATCCACTTCCAATCTTGGTTATATAAAATATAGTGAAGATTATATTAAGTCAAATGCATATATTAAGAAGGAACATTTTAATCTTAGAGGCTCAATGGTGAAATAATACACAGAACAGCATGTTCAAAATATTCAGAAAGATGAACTTTAGATAAGAGGGAAGAAACAGGAAAGCCTGGTTCAGACCGAATAGAAAATTCCCCTAGAAATCTGTAACTGGGTGCATGTCACAGATTACATAACAGCTCTTCGAACATAAATGTATTCCATAGTGGGAATACTGTTTATGTTGAATCTACAAATGCTCCTTTGTCCAGGGAAGGTTCCATCCAACAGATGATCAAGTTATAAACTTTGCTTTTGTTGTGTTAGACACATCATACTCTATACCCTGGATACAAAAGGAAGAAGGGAAGTCGGATTTCAGATGTGAACAATGAATTCCAGTTTTGAGTAAAAGGAGGTAGAATTTCAATTATGGAAACACACCAGGAAGGGATTAGATCATCTTAAATGCCTTGTCAGGGTTTGTAACTTTTGGTTAAAAAGATACTTACTATTCAGGTTTCAACTTTTACAGACTAACTCTGACTACTAAGAAGATCTTTTTATGCCATGCAGCCCAAACAAACTGAGAAAGAAAAGGTCTTCACCATTACAGTGGGAAAAAAAATATTTATTTTTTTGCCTTTCTTTACTAAAACAAATGTTATTGACAAGTTGAACAGCTTTTGAACGAATACGTGAAACTTGGTAATTATTCCTAGATGAAGTTTTCAATCTAAAAAGTCATATGTAAGCCAGGATGTCACTTAAAAAAAAAAAGGGGCACCCGAGTGGCTTAGCCTCTGACTCTTGGTTTTGGCTCAGGTCATGATCTCACGGTGGTGAGACTGAGCCCTGAGTTGGGCTCAGCCCTGGGTGTGGAGCCTGCTTGAGATTCTTTCTCTCTCTCTCTCTCTCCCCCTCTGCCCCTTCACTCTCCCTCTCTAAAAATAAAATAAAATAAAATAAATTATATGCAAAGGAGTATTTATGCATAGCCAAGTAATACTGTAGGTTAAAGTTCCATTCTAATTCATCATCCATCTCTACCTTTCACATTGGCAATATATGTGGTCCTTTAATGGTGCATTAGAAGATTGCACAACTATTCTTTAAGGAGGTCCACTTCAGAATGAGGTCTGCTGCTAAAATACTGATGAATTTAAGCCCTACATATTTTCCATTGAGTGATATATGTCATAACTTAGGAATTCATGAAGGAATGCTCAGATAAAAGTGCCACAAAAAGTAAAAAATAAATAAAAATTAAAATGGAAAAAACTTCAAAGGCAAAACTGGCCCATGATGCCTTAATCATAGTTGTGCTATGTTCTGAATTTAGAATTTTACTCTTCTTCAGAACAGGGTTTTCAAATGGTAATACTCAGATTTGTAACTGTAGTATTTAAAATTCACCCCCTGCAGTGATGAATTTAAATTCTACAAGTATGTAAGTAAGCCTTTAATTCTTACCATATTCCATACTTCATTCAGTTGATCAGCATATGGCACTCTGAGATCCTAAGTATGGGTTCAATTTCCACACAGATCTTCCTGTCAATGTAAAATCCCCACGCTCTTAGAGAAGCAACTTGGGAGGGAAGCAACTGCTTTGGGGTCAGGCAGATGTGGGCCGGAATTCCAACTTGACCACTAGTGGCCTTGCAAACCTTGGTAAGTTATTCAAGTATTCTGAGCCTTAGTTTCCTTGTCTGTAAAATGCAGATGATACCTGTCTCTGAGCCATTTCCCTGCGGTGGGTATTGACTGCAACACGCATGCGATGTTTGTACAGAACTCATAGCAGCATCAGGCATATAGTGGACACTCCCTAGGTTTTGACAGACACTAACGACCTTCTTGCTTGCCGTCTCAAGTGAGAGCAGGGTATCGGGTGCAGACAATGTGCAGGGATAGCAATGTTCTGTCTCTAGGCAAAGGCTCTTACTAGTCTCTATTTGGCCCTACACGTGTTAATTAATGATCAACAAGCCTAGGATCTTGGGTGCTGCTCTAGGATACATTAAACATTGTCATAGTCACATTTTTTTTTTTTTTTTTTTGGTGTGAGGGGTGACTTTTATTTTAACTCTCTACTCATCCCCTTACAAGAACAGCTTTGTAACACAGAAATCAGAATATTATTACCTTCACTCATGAGGCAGTGAGCATATTTCCCTTGAAACAAGTAGTTCATTTATTTTACTTCTTACCTTTTCAATTTTTTCATCCAGCATTCTGAAGAATTCTTGTTGGCTTTCAGAGATGTGCATGCTAAAAAAACAAGGAATAGTTAAGTGCATTATTTCAACGTTTTCTTCAACCAGCTCCCTCAAATGAAAACCACTGAGTCCCCAAACTTTGAAGCAGACATTTATATATTACCGACTATTCCAGTGAACAGTCTAAGTCATATTAAGGATAAATGCCATTCCAGTAATTCCTATAAATGTGTTTCATTATAGTCTATCAGTTCCTATGATTTAAGGTATACAATTTCCTTTCAATGTACACATATCATTTATAGTGATGTTACTGGGAGGTATGTGTCAATTTTTTTCTTCAGATACACATTTGTGATTAAAAAAAAAAAAAAAGCACAGACAAGCATTCCATGGCATATTTCAAACCTGTGTGTAACTGTGAAAAGAAAATATATCCAAGTTATTTTGTGGAAATGTGTATTTTACAAAGACTGTCATCATCAGCATGGTATTCAGCCGACCGTGTAGCTATGGGCAAAGAACTTGACATTGCCCCCGAACCCTTTGTGCAGTGGTGAAAGCCAATGCACCTCTTTGGAAGTGAGATCCCATGGAATGTGGGATAGAGGCAGGGGGCATATGTGAGTAGCACTTGTCCTGTGTGTTTGCTTGTCTAATGCTATTTGACTGCACACTTAGTGAGACCGACATGGGTGCTGGGGACAAAACATCAGAAGGTAAAGGAGAGCGGAGAAGAATCACAGATGGGAAGGGCATGGGGAGGAAAGGGTCTTGGTGGCAACGTGGTCTTAATGATAGTAATTTCCACGCAACAAACAGGTGCAGATGGTCCAAGGAGGTTCAGGACGCTGGGCTAAGAGACACATCGCATAGTGCCCCTTTCTAGAGCTCGGTTGTTGCAGTGGTTGCGCATGGAAGGAGGGGAGGCTCTGCAAGTCTAGGTGTGGGGGGCAGCCCACCTGACCTACCCTTAGCATTCTGCCTCACCCTTTAGGGGCCACAGAGAATGGCCCAAGAGACCCCAAACCCTTCAGGCCTCCAAGGACAGATAATGGGGCTCGAATGTTTTTCCCTGTGTGTAAAACCAAGATTTAACATTGGGAGCACCATGACATCAGCTCTGATATAAAAGGAAAATGATAAACTATCTGATATCAGCAATCAACTTTCACATGCATCATGTAATTTTTCCTGTCCTTTATGTGATAATTCAAGTGAGGTAAATGTCCTGTTTCAGAAAAAGGTCCTCTCTTGTTGCAGGTTAGAAAGGCAGGCCAGAATCTGGGATGATGAGAATATATTAAAACAGTCTCCTCTCTTTCTCTGGCTGGGCAGAAAAGCCACTTTTGCATACCTGAGTTTTTCCAGATTCCCCATGGTTTTACTTCTTTAAGTGCCAAAACAATTTTTATTTGAGCCGCTTTGGATGCAAATCTTCTAAACTTTAATACAGGATCTATCACAAACATTATTTAACTTTCACTTAATGACTAGAGGCCACTCCCATGATCTTAAATCACAATCCCCCTCTGTAATACTGGGACACCCCCTAGAGCCTCTGAGATGGGGAGAGCTGTCTCTCCTTAAGCAAGGTGGCCTGAAACTACGGGCTTTTGTTCTCTGCCTGCTTTGAACTTTTCCCCTCATTTCCTCTTGTCAAAGAAGGTATTGGTTCTCTTTCAGTTTCCTTCCCAGCTGCTACTTCTCTACTCCATGCTTAGCACATCCAAGTCTGTTAGAGTTGTGTCTAAAGTTAGTGTAAACAGGCTCTGAGGGAGAGCTTGGCGGGGGGATGGTTCTTGTGAGTGGGGAACAGGCATATTCTGGCAGTCATTGTGACCGCTCAGACACATTCTGGGCATCCTCCCTGTTCCTGACCACGCTCTCAGCAAATGAGGTTGCTGGACAGCTCTGGGTCCCAGAAAGAAAAGGCGTGAAGACATATAGATATAGATATTCCTTAATATAGATAACCACGCATGCACATATCTTAATACAGATAACCATGTATATATTAGTTTCCTTAGGAAATTCCAAGAGACCTCATAAAAATGGCATGTTTAGGGGCGCCTGGGTGGCTCAGTTGGTTAAGCGACTGCCTTCAGCTCAGGTCATGATCCTGGAGTCCCGGGATCGAGTCCCGCATCGGGCTCCCTGCTCGGCGGGGAGTCTGCTTCTCCCTCTGACCCTCCTCCCTCTCATGCTCTCTGTCTCTCATTCTCTCTGTCTCAAATAAATAAATAAAATCTAACAAAAAAAAAATGGCATGTTTAGGATTTGAGGTACACGGTGGAAACTTTTAGGGTAGAGTTTTTAACATATATTGCCTTGCAAATAACAGAAGGGCAATAAATATTTACTCAATTGACTAAGCGTACCTATTTTAATTCATGTGATGCATGACTCCTCACAGAGGCAGTTCAGTAGGTTGGCATGGGTGAGGTGCAGGCCTCAGATTTCTCATTTCTAAAACCATTAGGCTGGTCTCTGAGGTTCCTTCCAGCACTGATATTCTAGGATTACTACTAACTTCCATTAACTGCTTAATTGAACTATCACAACATGAAAACAGGCATGCTTGGTTAGTACTCACACATATGCATACTAGACTAACAAAATGATTAGTCTTAAGTAAAAGTGATTCTGCAAATGTGTCTGCCATCTCTGGGATGAAGAATGCAGAGCTCAGGGGCGCTTGGCTGGCTCAGTCAGAGGAGCGTCCGACTCTTGGTCTCGGGGTCGTGAGTTAGAGCCCCACATTGGGTAGAGAGATTACATAAATAAATAAATAAAATTTAAAAAAGAATGCAGAGCTCCGGGGTCCATATCAGGAGCTTGATGCCAAGGGAAGGACTTTAAGATGCATACATAGTAAGCCAGCACAAAAATCTTAGTGGTTCCAGCTTTGGGTAGTTTTAACTACATACTTTCTACCCATTAAAAAAAAAAAAAAAAAAAAGGAATTCCTTGATTAAAGCAAACTGAACAAAAGCCCCTTAACCCAGAAATAATTAGTCAAGACAGGGTATCTGCAACCCCACCTGACTCCTGAACCAAACAGTAGCCTCACTCTGGGGCAGCGGGTACGATGGCTGGGAGGCAAACTCTACCATTTTCATTTTCATGTGTGCCCTCTGAGAAACAATTCTAACCAAACCTAGGCCACTGGCTTTCAGTCGGTGCATCTCTACCATCATACCGCGCTGATAGAGAAATGCTGCCTGCTTTCTCCTTGGGTAAGAGCATCAGGACATCCCTACCCGCCTCTGTCTCATTTCAAAACCTACCAAGACGCGTCTTCCGCCAGACCGACTCACTATCTTGCCACACACAGTATGTGGACGGTGTTAGCCAGAAAAGACTAATGGAAGGGTGACTTATTTATTATCAAATCCTGACGCACCAAATGAGCTCCTTCTGATAAGCTCCACTGTCCCCGTCAGAGCAAGGGCCTGCGTGAGGCCATCTTCAGGGTGGTGTGACCCACAAGCACGACGCTCACTTGGCTCATCTCTGTCCTCTGTGGATTCATTTCACAGACAAGCCCCGAAGGCCCTTCCACAGGGGCAGAGGCAGCACTGTTACTCTGGGGGAGTGAATAAATCACGAAGTCGCCCCATCTGCACCGACTGCTGCCTAGATAAACACGGATGTTCTCTCCTCGTGTGGGATCTCCATCAACACGATGGCATTAATATTCGTTTTTACCTTCAAGAGTCCGAACTGCACCGTGAGAAACAGTCCGTAGGTAACAGCCCCCTCCTTAAACCCTTTCTGATGCACACTTTGGTGACCATCCATGGGGAGGGAGGAAAAAAGCACACTGGCCTTTCTAGTTTTCCTCAAGATAATAGAAACGGATAATTAAATTGTTTATGATTCAGTTTATAAAGTACGAATATTTGATGCTAAGATTAATTAGATCTAAAAATATTTTATAAAAGCCTGTATGCTGGCACTTGATTCAGCTGATAAAACTTAACAATCTCAGTAATTCCAATTTCTCTCCCTGCACTCAGCTGAGCGGAAAACACAATGCTCCCCAGCACTTCCTGTGCCCCCAGCTGGCGCTGGCTGAGCCCTTGTGAGTCAACCCTGAGTCATCCAAAGCTCTTCTGACTATGATTCCTCGGCTTCATGACACGAGGGATGACAACAGTATGGAATCCTAATGACGAGTAATCAAAGGAATGAAAAAGGTGGGCAAAATGAGCTTGAGAGCTGAAAGGTATACGGCTTTCATTTTCAGTGACTTAAAAAGTTTCCCCTTATAATAAAAACCTAAGCCACAAAAGTATCAGAAGGCAAGGCCCTGACTCCCTAATACTTCACCTGCAAAAATAAAATGCCATCACTCAGGGAGTTCTGGCAAATCTTGGCCTGAACACAGTTCTTTCTTTCATAATTATCATCACCATTGCTCAACTGGACGTTGGGAAGTGGCTTAATCCTAATCCTCACATCATGGCACACCCTTGCTAGCAGTTCATGCATGGCTCACTTTTATTTAGTCAAATACAGTATAATAAGCATCCACAAAACCAAAACAAAAAACAAAAGCCAGGACCTGGACAACAACCTAGAGCTACCTTACTTCCTACCCAGGCGTGTGTTTCCCCAAACTCAAGGGCACCAACATGCCCTCCCCCCTTTTATAGAGCTTTACTGCATATGTGCTTTATAAAGCAGATGATTTATTTAGTTGTTTTTAACTTTACAAAGAGTGCATCATGCTCTGTGTAATCTTTCAGGACCTACTCTTTTCTTCTGGTATTGTATTGCTCAGGTCCATCCAGTGTTATGTGTTGCTACAGTGCATTTGTTTTAATTGCTAATATTCCACTGTGTGAAAGCAGTGAGGTTCTTTACCCAATTTCCTGTTAAAGGGCATTTGGGCTGTTTCTAACTGTTAAGACATTCTTTTTTTTTTTTAAGGTTTTATTTATTTGACAGAGAGAGAGAGGGAGAGAGAGAGCACAAGCAGGGGGAGTGGGAGAGGGAGAAGCAGGCTTCCCGCAGAGCAGGGAGCCTGATGTGGGGCTCGATCCCAGGACTCTGGGATCACGACCTGAGCCGAAGGCAGACGCTTAACCGAATGAGTCACCCAGATGCCCCTAACTGTTAAGGCATTCTTAACAAGCATCAGACACTGTGATAGACACTGGGCGTACATTATTTCATTTAATCCCCAGCCCTAGGAGAGAGGATTTTTCTCCTCTATTTTAATCTGAGAAAACTGAAGCCCAATGACACTGCGCTGAGATCATAAAGTAAGAATGGGCTCTGCATGTTATATCAAATGAAGGTGTGAAGACTATCTGCCTTTTATTACCTATCTACCTTTATTATTACTAAATCTCCTGTTATCACATATGGGATTGCCCTTCCACTTCTGGAGAAAAGAAACTCATTACCTTGTTTTATACACTGCAGAATAAATAATAGTTTCCCTGATCCTCTGTGTCAGTAAGGAGGAAAAGTACCACTCCTCATGGCCTTCCAGGAAGATTTCATAGTTGAATTCCTGTAACCTAAGGTTCTGACTCATAGTTTAAAACACACACACACACACACACACACACACAAACACCAGAGGATTTTCTTCCTAATTTAAATGTAAACACATGAGCCAGTTTAATCAACCTCTCTGAAAGCCCCAGCACAGGCCGGTCTGCAAAGCATCTGCTTCAATGTGTCTATGTCTAAGTTCCGTAAGTATTTACACTGAAGGAAAAAAGAAATTCTCTTTAATGCAACCCCTCCTTAGAACTCAGAGATAAGGGAAACATTTAAAAATAGCATATATTGGGTGCCTGGGTGGCTCAGTTGGTTAAGCGACTGCCTTCGGCTCAGGTCATGATCCTGGAGTCCCGGGATCGAGTCCCGCATCGGGCTCCCTGCTCGGCAGGGAGTCTGCTTCTCCCTCTGACCCTCCCCCCTCTCATGTGCTCTCTCTATCTCATTCTCTCTCAAATAAATAAATAAAATCTTTAAAAAAAATAAAAAATAAATAAATAAATAAATAAAAATAAAAATAGCATATATTGGGGGCGCCTGGGTGGCTCAGTTGGTTGAGCGTCTGCCTTCGGCTCAGGTCATGATCCCAGGGTCCTGGGATTGAGCCCCGCATCGGGCTCTCTGCTCAGCAGGGAGCCTGCTTATCCTTCTCCCTCTGCTTGCTACTCCCCCCGCTTGTGCTCTCTCTCTCTGTCAAACAAATAAATAAAATCTTAAAAAAAATTTAAAAAATAGCATATATTGAATGGCTTGAATGAAAAGATGACTTCATTCTATCATCAGATACCTGCTGTCCCTCAAAGGCAGATAAAATTAGTGTAGATGAAAGTGGCTACCAGTGAAGTGGATGCGGGAGGTTGTGATTACGGCATCACGTGTCCCTAAGGGTGCAAAATTCGGTTTTACCATCCCACTGTCAATGTAAATGGTAAGTGGATTTTAAAATGTCCAGTTTTCTTTGAAAGTAAACAATTAAATCTCTGAGCTCACCACCCTGTAGAGTCCTAACCACCTACAGCACCACCAAAGACACCGAGCCAGGGTAAAGTGATTGGCTGGACCTCGGTTATTTTTGTCTCCATTTCCTGGGAAGAACCAGACGTAACACAACTTGTGCTTATGACTGGGATGGAACTACTATTAAATAGATGTAATAGGTTTATTTGGGGGGGTGGGTGTGACGATCAGCTGCACTAGTAAGAACTAGGGAATTTGTTCTTATTTAGGTGGAACCCCACAAAAGAGATTTGTAGCCTCGGGAAAACAGAGCCTCTTTGAAGGAAAGGGGCGATAGCTTCAAAGTCACACAAAGGGCGTTTCACTGCCAAGGTAGATTCAGTTCTAGAACAATCTAGAAAAATACTCATTCTTCTCTCCAACTTTTTAATCGTGCAATGCATAACAAAATGTACCATGTTATTTGTACAGTTTTAAATAATAACAATGAAAGGAACACCCATGTAATCACCACTCAGGTTAACAAACAGAATCCCTGGTCCCACTGTCTTCCATCCAGTGAGAAAGAACCACTCTTCTAAGTTTAATGCCTTTTCATGTCCTCGCTCGTCTTTATCGTTTTATGACATACATATATAACCTATTGATTAGTTCTGCCTGGTTTTTTTTGAACTTTATATAAATGACTATATGCAGGCAGGTGCTAGTATTTCCTTACTGCACAGCCTTACTCTCATGACCGTCCTCCATCTTGACATATGCAGTCATAGGTCATTCACTTTCACTGATGTGTAGAATTCCTAGCTGAAGAATATGCCACATTTTTTGGTCATCCACTATATTTCTGAAGGACATTCAGGTTTTGCCTTCAAGAGCTTTACGAGTTCATGTAAACAGTGCTGCTATGGACCCATCAACCATGTCTGGGGCACACATGCGTGAGGGTTTTCTAGGCTAATACACCTGAGAGGGGAGTTGCTTGTGGGCAAGGTACGTCCAGGTACAATTTTATTAGAAAATACAAATTGTTGGGGCGCCTGGGTGGCTCAGTTGGTTAAGCGACTGCCTTCAGCTCAGGTCATGATCCTGGAGTCCCGGGATCGAGTCCCACATCGGGCTCCCTGCTCAGCGGGGGGTCTGCTTCTCCCTCTGACCCTCTCCCCTCTCGTGCTCTCTATCTCTCATTCTCTCTCTCAAATAAATAAATAAAATCTTAAAAAAAAAAAAAAAGAAAATACAAATTGTTTTCCAAAGTAATTGTACTGGCTTATATTTCCGCTGGGGTGAAGAGTGCCTGTTGTTCAACATCCTGGTCAACCATCTGTACCACCAGACTTTCTAAATTTTGCCCATCTCGTGGTGCGAAATGGTATTTTCCCTAGACATTATTAGCTCTTCAAGTTTCCTCTGTGGTGAAATGGTTGTTCACATCTTTAGCCTCTTTTTCTATGAGCTCTCTGTTTTGTACTTACTGATTTATAGAATTACTTTACATAACCTGGAAACCCAACTATTGTCCATTATATGCACTGTAGATAAATTCCACCATTTCCTTTTACTCCCCTACAGTAAATTTTGATAAATGGAATTTCTTAATTTTAATGCAGTCATATTAATGAATCATTTTTCTTAAGATCTGCATCTTTTGTGACTTATTCAAAATTCTTCCCTACCCCATAGTCATAAAGATATTCCCCTTTATTTTCTTCTAACTGATCTGAAATGTCAGTTCTGTCATTTATTATGGGTCTGTTTTGGGACTCTCTATGCTGTTCCATTAGACCAAACCACGCTGTCTCAATTCACTGAAGCTTTACAATACATCTTGGTTAGCTGGCAGGCAAAACTGAGCTCACTCTGAAAACATTATTAGCTTTAAAAACAACATAAGGAAAATAAGAACTAGAACTTACTTTGCTCTGGGTTGATGGACTAATCCTGGAATCTCTTTATTAGTTTTAAGTCTTACATTTGAACTGGCACTTTTTTCCTGAAAAACATAAAACACACATGTAATAGACAAGGTGAGAATCAGCAATTAAGCAGTGGCATGAACTGTCATCATGGAAATGTTAGATTTGTTTGAGACCCTCCACAGCTGACCACTTCACAAGGGCAAAAAATCCTGCAAAGAGGTTATACTGTAAGGTAAAACTGCCCAAGCATTTTAACAGGGAACACTGTCAGGAAAAGAGAAGTTAGCTTTATAACAGCTATAAGTATTTTTAAGAAATTATGTGCAACTAATATTTGATGTTTAGGTGTTTTTAGGAAAAATTAGTAAGAGAATCAAGGAACAGAAGATTCTAGTGCCAAAGAACAGCAGTAGTGTAATTACAGACGTTGTTTATGTGCTCAGGTTAACTGTTCAATGCAGTGCATTTTGTTTATAAAAGACAACTGCGGTTATTGAGACATGAAGTTTGCATGAGGCCCTCGCAGTGACAGAGACAAGAACATGATTAACAATAACTAATTTATTCCACCCATAACAAATACTGAGATTGAATTCAATTGAATTAATAACATTCAATACTAACTTATATTCAAGAAGCACTTCTTTGGCTTTTAGTCTGATCTGATTTCTTATCCCCAGTTTACCAGCCTCACGGGAAAGAAACATTCTCAAATCTTAAAATGCAAGTATATTGGGACACTTGGGTAGCTAAATCGGTCAAGCGTCTGCCTTTGGCTCAAGTCATGATCTCAGGGTCCTGGGATCGAGCCCCATGTCAAGCTTCTTGCTCAGTGGGGAGTCTGTTTCTCCCTCTGCCCTCTGCCCCCCCACCCCTGCTGCTTGTGCTCTCTCTCTCAAATAAATAAATAAAATCTTTTTTAAAAAATGCAAGTATATCAGTAGGTATACTATCTCAATAATAGTACTGCTCTGTATTTATACAACACTATCTTTGAAAAATATTTAGGATGCTTTATAATTTGCTATGACAACACATCCCCGAAATGAAAGGACAGACTATTCTAAACCTGTTTATAACAGGTGACTATATCCACTCAAGGAACCTGATGTGTAGCGATAATTAAAGACCCAGGGGAGGGCAAGGAATAAAGACTCCTGTGGGCCAACCCACTGCTCTTACCACATGCAGAGTGATGTGGGATGGTGCATAAAGCAGATGGTCCCCAAATGAACTCTTTTGAGAGTTCCCATTTCTCTCAGGACAGCAGAAGCCATTTAAATCAGTGAAACTCCAATGATTTACATGCTGTGGTTGTTTGCTATTTACCATTAAACGTGAGCTTATCTGTATAACATCAGGACTCCAAAATACAGGGTAATTTTTGTTTGTGATCTTCCAGGAAAAGAAACAATCGTTAGGATTCTTTTGCGGTCTATCTTACCTTCTTTGCCCCACACTAAACTGAAGAGTATTTTCATACACTTTTAAAAGGCATAAAATATATACTGCTCCTTCTGCTGACACAGCCAGGGAACAACAGATGAACCACCTTAGCTTTCACAAAGCAGCTCCAGGAGGGCTAGGCTTTACCAGTGGGGACTCCGGGCCTCGGTGGGGCCTGCCTGGCACTTCATGGGAGTTACACATCGTATACTGGTAGCACGAATGAACAAGGTCAACAAATGATGAACTTCTTTTTAACAGTGAGAGATAAAAATAGCTTTAATGTAGTCTCTCTGAAGAACTGCAGAGGTAGGTTCCAAGTTAGTCATTTTTTCCCCCTTAAACTACCTGTCTGCTTGGATTAAGCACCGAAAATGGACACAGGACAGAGCCCTACACTTTTTCCCTATTCACATAATTTCCCAAACGCTGAGCCTAAATGATACACTGTAATTTTGTTATTTATTTTTTGAGACACTGTAATTGTAAACATTGCTGAGGCATGAACGACGCCTCTAATTCTATGACTGTAAACGATACACAATCGTATTCTGCTTATAGTCAATGTATTAAACGGTACCCTTCACAATGACATTGCTTCTCCGCATCTTCCTTAAAAATACATTGTGTGGTTGCTAGGGAGAGAAGGAAACCCCAAACAACAGGGCTCAATGGATGGGGCTGGGGGGGAGGAGGGGGCGGGGACACTCAGGTCCTGAACAAGCCATCCCTCTGCGCATGCGCACAGGTGCGCACTGCCAGGAAGTGGGAGGACCAAAGCTTCGGCAGAGGCACTGGGGGAATGTCACCTTCAGATTTCCCAGTTATAAAAAAGAAAAAAGAAAGTATGTATAATTACAGAGAGATTTCTTTTGATTATGTATGTATGATGTATTTATTTTTACAAATTACCATTCACCAAGATCTTAATATCAATGATCACTTACTATATAGGTCGGGCATTATTCTAAGTGATTTCCATATAGTAACTCATTTTAATATTCACAAATATTCACATATATTAACTCATTCTTTTTTTTTTAAAGATTTTATTTATTTATTTGAGAGAGAGAGAATGAGAGACAGAGAGCATGAGAGGGAGGAGGGTCAGAGGGAGAAGCAGACTCCCCGCCGAGCAGGGAGCCCGATGCGGGACTCGATCCCGGGACTCCAGGATCATGACCTGAGCCAAAGGCAGTCGCTTAACCGACTGAGCCACCCAGGCACCCCTCATTCTTTTTTTTTTTTTTTAAAGATTTTATTTATTTATTTGACAGAGAGAGAGCGAGAGCAGGAACACAAGCAGCGGGAGTGGGAGAGGGAGAAGCTGGCTTCCTGCCGAGCAGGGAGCCCGATGGAGGACTCGATCCCAGGACCCTGGCATCATGACCTGAGCCGAAGGCAGACGCTTAACGACTGAGCCACCCAGGCGCCCTATCAACTCATTCTTACATCCACAATACCTCTCTGAGATAGGTACCATTTTTATTCCCCTTGTATAGATGAGAAAGCTGAGGCATCGAGAGGTGAAGTATTTTCTTGAGACCATACAGGTGATAAGTGATAGTGGTGGGATTTCGACCAAAGCCGAATGGCCCCAGAGTCCTTGCTATTAGCCACTAGGCCAGCAGTTCTCAAATGCTCTAGTATCAAGACCCCTTTGCCCATATTATACAAATTTTGACACATTTCCTTGTAGAATATGAAAAAAAATCATATTTGTTAAAATTCACCATCAATCTCATTAGGAAAATCTTGACAGAAGCTGTCAAGCTCATGGTAGTATAAAATTTTCCAGAATTCTAATTTTGGTTTAACGTTTGAATTTTATGACTGGCAACACATACTGCCAATTGTTTTCTTTGAAGTGACAGGTTCTCTTCATTCTTTTTTTTTTTTTTTTAAGATTTTATTTATTTGACAGAGAGAGACACAGCGAGAGCGGGAACACAAGCAAGGGGAGTGGGAGAGGGAGAAGCAGGCTTCCCGCTGAGCAGGGAGCCCGATGCGGGGCTCGATCCCAGGACCCTGGGATCATGACCCGACCCGAAGGCAGATGCTTAACGAATGAGCCACCCAGGCACCCCTCTCTTCATTCATTCTTGAGACAATGTTTGCAAAATACCCAAGCCTGAATATTCATAACTTATCTGTCAGGCATTTTCTTCTCTAAAGTAGAGATGGTATTCCATAAAAACAACCATGAGTTCAGCCTGCAACTCCATCGACTGAACAAGTACTTTTCCTTCAAATAACCATCTTACCTGGGTGTGCAGAAGAAATGCCTTATGTATGCCTCTTTCCCATTTTATCACATAGACTATTAAAAAGCTCTGCACCCAAGGCACAAGACTTAATAAAATTAAATAAAATTTACTGCTTCATCAAGGAGATTCTTAAGTGAAAATGGAATGTATCCTTCCACTGTAAGTGCACGGTGCAGGTGAATACAATGACTCTAAGTTTGGGGGCCACTGCCTTGATTTTGTGCTTCTGCACCATCAATGCAAATGTCAACACAGCAAAAAGGGCAAACTGCTTCTTAGTATTGTTAGGAAAATGAGCTTGAGGACATCCTGAGACTGTTTTGGGGACCCCAGGTCTGCAGGCCGTACTTTGACTAGTGTCTCTATTTCCTTTGCAGAGAAAAGAACTATCGATTATTTAATTTGCTATATGCCTTATTTACAAAAATATTTAACCACCATATTGAGGTAAAATTTACATTCCATAAAATTCCATTATGAAGGTATGATTAAGTGATTTTAGTAAATTTATATTACTGTACAATTATCACCACAATCCAGTTTTTGAACAGTTCTATCATTCTAAAAAGTTTCCTCAAACCCATTTGCAGTTCTTCTCTGCTCTCCTCTATAGCCCCAGGCAACCACAAATCTGCTTTCTGTCTCTACAAATTTGCCTTTTATAGATTCATAGAAATGGAATCTTATCATATATAGCCTTTGGTGTCTGGCATTTTTCATTTAGCATTATGTTCCTGAGATTCATCTATATCGTAGCATCTTTCAGTATTTCACTTATTTTAATTGCTAAATAATATTCCCATGTATGGATATACTGTATTTTGTTTGTACATTCACTATTTGATGGACATTTGGATTGTTTTAAGTTTGAGGATATTGTGAATAAAGCTGCTATGAACATTCACATATAAGTCTTTGTGCAAACATATACTGTCATTTCTCTTGGGCAGGTTCCTAGAAATGGAATTGCTAGATTATATGCTAAGTGTATATTTAACTATTTAAGATATCACAAACCATTTTCCAAAATGGTTGCACCATTTTACATTATCACTTGGGATGCATGATGGTTCCAGTTTCTCCACATCCCTGCCAACACTTGATAGTGTCTTTTCGATTATTGCCATTCAAGTGGTATCTCATTGTGGGCTTCATTTATTTTTAAAACCATGACTTATTTGGATTTGTTCTTTGCATCCCTCAGAATACCTTGCCATGTGAGAGCATTTACATGCCTATCAGCTAGCTATACTTGCATCAAGAAGTCAGCTTTATATTTGCTTATAAACATCACTTAACTTCTTTTCTGGGTTTGTTTGTTGGGGAAGGGGAGGTTTACAGAGATCTGCTTTAAAAAAAAA